TAGTTAATTATAAAATAGAAACTCAAGAATTAATTTAAAATATTTAAAATTTAAACTTTAAATAATTTAAAATATGTTTTCCAATATATTTAATGTTATGATTTGTTAGACATGCAAATGATATACATTTAAAGTAATCATAAATCACAGACAAGTTGTTTATAATTAACGAATTGTTTTATAAGAGTCTCGAAATGAGAGCTCTTATATCGATACCATTTTTTGTGAATTTATTGCACCAATAAATTATAAATTTTCAAATTCTTGAATAAATGGAAAAATATATAAAAAAAGGAAAACTAGTTTTCCTTTACTTAATGGAAACCGAATGAAGAGTTTGTGTTTTGAAATTCACTATTTATGACATCGAAAGCACGTAATAATAAGGCTATCGATGACCACAAAACTCATATATTGAGCAGAAATATTATACTTAACTATAATTCATAGAGAAAAGCCATGTTTTATCTAAAGAAGAAAATCAATAGGAAATGGTATCTAAGGTTAGGGCGTCGGGCAGGCCCTCCAAAAACGATTAGAAGTGGATTCTTGTATCCGACAAACGTATAGATAAAAGTACATAAAAGGGAACCACTTTTTTCAATAACTAAATGTGAATAACTCTTAGATTACTTATGCTATCAATCGTTGAGATCTTAAAGAAAAGTCAATTATATTTTTAGTTATGTTTGGCGTAATTGTAATCATAATATTGTCGAGCAATTCGTGCAGTGATTGGCATACTTTCGATGCCATTTGAAGGTTCGCCGACATGTACCCAAAAATACATGGCTTTCGTATTATTATCAATGTTTACAATCCATTGGCGATCGATATATACGAGACGAAAGTGTATTTTAGTGAAGGTTTTCATGTCCTTTCGGTCCTTAGTTACGTGTTTGCGTTTGAACTGAAAAGTTGTATTTATTTTGAATAATGATGTGACAAAAGGAGAAAATGAATAGTAAATTGCAATTTCAAGATCGATGGCTTATAATTAATGCAAACACACACTTAAAGTGCCGGTGTATACAGAAATAGACAGAATATGCACCGGCACAATGCATATGCAAAAGAGTACCACTATTTTGATAACTTTTTGTTAGTTTGTTTCAAACATTTCCTGAAATGAGTGTTGGTTTTAGCGAAACAATGCCAAACTCGGAGCCAATGGCCTCGTAATCACGACTATAAGACATAAGGAGTCTAATTAAAACGCGACTCATCGCAAGCACCAGACTATTGAGACAATAGATAAATATATAAAAGCACTTCATTTCGTCATAAAAGGCTTTCAATTCATGTTTGGATTAATTGTTTGAAAAATTCTGTTCAATTTTAATGACTTCATAAAGTTTTCAAGTGTTTTAATGACTCTTTAAACTTCATAACAACTAAAAATATTTAATGAATTTTATTGCACTTTTATTCCTTATATAAAAACATTTGCTATTAATTACATGGTTTTTGTGAAAAACTAAGAAATAAGAGATAATTATTTTGCAATTCTTTAATTTAAAACTTTTTTCATTAAACTCCTCAAAAAGATAAGAATAAAAAATAGTTTCAGAAAATAATAATTTTTGTTTTTAACAAATTTTTACAAAAATTCAATCAATTTGACTTTTTATAATTTGATTTTCTCTCTCTCTCTCTCTCTCTCTCTCGACTCGAAAACAATTTCATAAATAATTTGTTAAAATATCTGATTGTTATTAGAGATCAATAAACTCGTCCTTAAGAAAGTTTTTTCTATTCACTCGACTACATAATAATAATAGTATTTTTCGGAGAGAAGTTGTGTCGCGAAAACACCTGAAAATTTTGTCTGAAGTCATAATAGCGTGTATTGAATACACTATGTGTTGTGTCTCTGGAAATGCCGGTTCTCTGTCTTAATGTCAAACTCTGTACTCAGTTATGCTTTTCGTAATTTTGTTGCTTTCATTTCTCACAAAATAGTTTTTGTGAAAAACTCGTCGACTGTTCCGTTCCCTCGCCCTTAGCCTTAGAGCTGAACGGCTATGAAAAAAGTTACACAAAAAACACACTAAAAACCAATGAGAATGTAATGGAAATGAGTTTAACACAGAATCATTCATAACTCTCGCATACATATGAGTCTGAAATATATTTTCTAATATATTTGATAATAATCTCATAAATAAAGTGACGACAAAAATATTGATTTTATAAGTCTATGTATATCAAATTGGTGAATAGAGAGTTTATATATTATTTTTTAGTTTATCAATCGATACTCCAATTTATCCCCTTTTGGAGTGAATTGTATGATTCATACGAGACATGAAATAAAGCAATAAAACAGTTCGTATGGACATTGGGAGCGACGCCAAAGTCAGTACACCCAGGGATGCAAACTAGTAGTTGCCGTTGGAGTCCATGAAAATTGCATTTCGCACGACTTTGCTTTAAAACTGTATTTGATTTCATGTTCTCGAAAATAGGTAAAAATAAACACAAAGACAAGAATATATTTTCTCATAACTGGTGTACTATTTTTGGATTCAAATGACATGTACTGTGAAAATAGTATAAAATTCAGTGGTATTGAAGCGAAATTAATTAAACATATGATAAATATTGATTTGTTCACTGAATAACACTCCAATGTTCACTGAATGGCAACAATTTTACGCTTAATGTTATTTTTTGGTCCATAGCTCTAAAGTAAACCCAGAATTGGCTTTGTTTTTGAATAGACGGGTAGTTATTATTGGCGTCATATATGATACTAGTATTCGTGTCTATGATATTAGTGGTGTCTCTGCTCTCAGACATTAATATAACTTTTGATGGCTTTTCATACTTGAATGTCGTTATAAAAGCTGACTATAAATGCAATTCAAAGCGAAACTTTTTGTTCTCGCGTTTCCATACCCTATGCCCTCACGAGTAAACTCTGGCAACACTACAGACAATGTTATTACTGATGCCAGTGCTCGCGAGAAATACATTTCTTGTGTCCCTTCTCTCTTCTCTCTCTCTCTCTCTCTCTCTCTCTCACTCACACACACACACACACATCGATAGTTATCTCATATCCGACTATTATTTTAGTGCCACAAACAACACACGCCATAAGACATCATAACATATCTTTTCATTTAAATGTTTTCCTTATATTGAAACATCAAATTCATGGATAAATAGAGAGGAAATATTTTTACTAAACTATCAAAAACTTTATGCAAATTTAGAACACATTTCGTATTCCCATTAAAATAGAGTTTTTGATGAATTGTATGAAAAAGAAAATAAATTGAAACCTAAATGTAGAGAAAAATAAAAAGCAAAAATCGATATTCAAAAAACTGGAACAACACTTTAATTGAGTTTCTTTTTGAGTGACTTTTCTGACAATATAACCAAACACTGAGTATAAAACATCTAATTAATGTTTAATCATATTTTTATTGTCCCACAAAAAATGTATAGTTCAAAGAACTGGTGGACAGGGATCCAGTAATGCAAGTATTTCTTCAGCACAAGTCATCGACAGTGTTGGCGCCGACCAACGCGGCCATCGAGAAACTGGAGGCCAAACGACTGCGAAAAGACGTTTTGGACAAAATAGCCTCATATCACACCGGTATGTATTATATGCCTCACCACTCATACTATTCCTGTCGTCTATTATTTACTTAAACTTATTTGTTTGAACACAAAGTCATATATAATGGGCTATTAATAAATGTCTCGACTCTTAGACAATAAAACGAAGACTTTATTCGCATTTATTCACTAAATTGATAATCAATGATAACTTGAACAATAGTCTGGTGTTCAGTACACCGTATATGATATATGGATAGGAATCGGTGTTTCCCCTCAGACCTACGTTTCCTCCAATTTTGTGGTCGAAATATACAGCGTTTTAGACATTATTTTCTACTTTACTTGTAAGAGATGCTTAGAAATTGAGCTCATTTTTTGCTGGAATAACATTTTGAACCCAGAATTCCTGATCTGAAACTGATTTATGAAATATAAAAATATATAATTTGATGGAAAAGTTATTGAAAAATAAAATAGTATTTATTTAGTGTTGGCTGTGTATATGAAAAGCAATTTTATGAATTAGTTTTGCCTTTCAATCAATCAATAGCTGTAGTGTTTGTATAGTTATCCCTGACTTCACTTGAGATGAGTCTGAAGAGCGGATGTTTTTATTTATTGATAATGCAATGAATGGATTCAAATGTAGATCTCGTACTCTATGTTGAGATAATCTAAATGGTTGGCACAATTAAAATGGTTGGCAGATGTGATTGAATACATTATTCTCATACCATTCACACCATTCAACACGTATTGAATGTTTGCCACAAAACTACTGAATGACAAGAATATTACATAAATGGATACATTTTGTGGTTAAATATGTCTTTAAATGTCTCAAATAAATTGCAGAATAACAAGATATCCAATTACTAATGGATTTAGACTTAAGACACTCGACATATTCAGGCATTTAGTGTTCATTTGCCTATTATTGACAATACATTAGGCACTGGCAGACAGTAATGCAATTTACAAGCGCTTTGTTTTACTCATTAATATTCTGACAAAACTCTAAATAATGGTTTTGCAAAATGAGTGAACAAATCAGTACAGAATTCAATGTTATCTCCTTAACAGTGCTTTACATAATATGAGATCATTTAATAAAAGTGACAGTTTTTTAGGGGCGCTTGAGATGACTGTTTGGAGCACTGGTAGAGGACTAGTAGAGGACTAGTAGAGGACTGGGAGTTGAAATCAATTAAGAAGCAATTAGCTATTTATAACTGTGACTATAGTTTACAATAGAATAATGAATATCAGCGTCAAAATAGAAATACTTTTATAATATTCACAATATGTTATGAATTCGTAGATAAAAAACTGCTGATACAATAAATACCAGCGCCAATACAAACAGCTAAGTTTGCATAACATTGCTAACATTGCATAACAAGTCTCCCCTCTCAGTTTTGGGGTTCCCGAACACAATATAACTTATATGTCCTCCAAAGTAGTTATATATGGCTCTGAAGTGTCGATTTGGGAGCAAAAACTTTTTTGGTTCAGTTTCACTAAATTCTTTGCTCTCAACCCAAATGTCATCAATTCTTCGAGAAAAGGGAGAAATGAAATGAATTTTGTGAACATAAACAACACAATAGACATGTTTATCATTGGCTTAATAGTCATTCAGAGCAGTCATTGTTGCAAAGCTCCGGATTTTTGTGTCATGTTTTGCCAAATATTTTATTCAATTCCACTGTAACTGTAGTATAGCTCAGAATTCCTGGTGGAAAGACCCCTTTGATTTCCATATAATTATGAATATAATTGATTTAAAGTGCATTGAATTTCTCGTCAAACACTGTGTGGTAGTGTTAGTGCACTCGGCTTTCGGCACAAATCAATAACAAGCTAAAAAACTTTCACTTTTTAATGATAGACTTTAGGCAATCATTAGGAATACAAAAAAACACCATTCATTGTATTGACAGTATGTTTAAAATATTCCGTATATCAAAGTCATTGATAATGACATCATATCTTAATTGAGTTTACAATCCATTTATTCAATACTTTGTATAGTATTTTGATTACTATTTTGATTGCTATTGAATGCTTTTTTTAAATGAAGGCTAAAAACAAATTAATTGAAAACACGATTTAAATTACAGTCGGAGTGGTGGTGAAGAAGGAGTCGTTTCCGTATAGTGTCAGCTCATCCCTTCAAGAAGCGGCTCCCCTTTACCTGAGCTATAAGGAGCGTCGACCTGTCGGTCATCACGAGTACTTCCATCAGGATATCAAAGAGTTTTACGTGAATAACGCGAAGATCATCAAAGAGTACACACTTCGTGGTACTAATGGCGAGCAACTGCTGTACATCATTGACGAGGCCCTCGAGCCTTACATTCCGTCGACACCTCTGCCCCCCTTCGCACTCGAGCTCATTAGTCAGCCCAACATCTACGGCATCGACGAGCGATGGGATAACTACTACAATAAGATCACAAACAATAAACAGGAGGCCGTCTTCGAGAGGACGGGCAACCATACCTTCTTCGTGCCCATCGGCGACGTGCGGCCCGAGCTCTTCGACAAGTATGTAGTGCTCGGACACGTCATCCCAAACCACGTCCTATTCCTGAATGTGATGGGAAAGGAGTCGTACCGGTCGGCCGCCAACGACGCGACCGTCAATGTGGAGCTCTCTTTGATTAACCGAACCCTTCGTATAAATCCTGAGCAAACATATTATGTTCAGTCGAATACCATTAAAGCCGATCCCAGACATAACAAGGGGGTTGTCATGAGTCGTGTGCTCAGAGCCAACATTCCCGTCAAGAATGGTGTCGTCCATCTCATCGAGAAACCGCTGATGATTATCGACACCTCAATCATTGACTTCCTTCATCAGGAAAGCGATGGACGACTCAAGACGTTCAACAAACTCTTGGATTTGGTGCCAGAGATTAGATCAGAGATCAGTCGACTCGAGCAGAAGACCATATTAGCGCCGACTGACGCCGCCTTCAGTAATCTGAATGAGAGTGAAAACGACAATAAAGTGGATTATCTCATCAAAAACATCGATCAACTCAGAGATCTCCTGCGCCTCCATATGGTGTCCCAACAGTCCGTCTCGACGGACGACATTCGCCGCGGAATCAAACCGGAGGTGTTGTCGGCTGACAATCGGCGAAGTCTTTTCTTCCGAGTGGTCGGCGACGACGCCAACACTCGGCTCACAGTCGAAGGCGGAGGAGTCAATGCGACCGCAGTTCAGGCAGACATCGGCGCCACGAATGGCATCATTCACATCATCGATCGGGTGCTGGGAATGCCTTTCCAGAACATCTACGACAAGCTGAAGACCGACCCCTCCCTGTCCTTCTCCTTCGAGTTGGGAAGACAGGGGAACCAGAACTGGAACGAACAGCTGCTCCGAGAGGACAGACGGTTCACATACTTCGTGCCCTCCAATGACGCCTGGGATCAGTTCAAGAGAGAGAATCCGTCGGAATATAAACAGTTGGAAATGAAGTTATTTCCCGCAAACACCAGAAATGTATGTAATCTTTGCAATCGTTTGCGTCGGAAACAAATATTTTTCTAATGACAAACGACGCGATCGTAAATGAAATATAAAAATAAAAAATTTTCGCAAAACAGAGTACTTTTGAGGCATAAAATTAATGCAATTAATCGTAAAATTGATATAAAAAACAAATAAATAGTTAGATATTTTTGGAATAAATTTTGTGGAAAAAATAACTAAGAATTAGTGTATAATAAATAATTTTGAAGTTTGAATAAGAAAAAGATGAAATGATATTTGGCTGTGAGAACTGCAAACTCCATAATCCCCGGCACTTAAGTCATAGTCAGGTTTTTTGTTGATTTTGTTTGCGTATATATTTCAGACTCAATTTGAATTGACTTTAAAGCGAAAATATTTTATTTTTGTGATGTTTAAGAAGATTTATGTTTTTGAATAATAGCTATAATTTGTTTAATTCTTGCTTTTTTGTGCCCCTCGTGTCTAACAAAGCAGATACTGGACAGACATTTAGTAGTGAACCAACAAATCTCATCGACACAACTGGAGACACAGTTCGATACAATACATACCGTGAAAGGCATACTAAAAGTGGCCAAAAGCTCAGTCGGATTCGGTATGTCTTTCCCCATAATTCACAAAAACTTATTTTCCATAATTTTGCCGAAATTTCGATAAAAACCGCAGTTTTTGTTCCCAAACGAAAATAATTGAAAATTTAATATAAGAATGACACGAATATAGACTATATATAATAATTATATAGTTATTAAAGTATAACTTAATATATCTATTGTAGTGACAGTAATAGAAAGTCACAGTCAAGTGGTTTTGGATTTTTTATTATTAAAAATTAAAGTCCTGTTCACTTTTGGCAGTGCTATTGACCTTCAATTCTGCTCTCATGTCATGTCATCAGCCCTTTAGTTTAAAACCACTTTTCAATAGAAATTTTTTCAATTTTATATTTACTCTACCGTCGTCTCAACCCTAACACTACACCCCCTCCTATCACGGCATACCGTCACCCATACGGTAACCGTCCCTTCGGTTTATGACCTCTTCATATACTTTGTGTACATTTGAAAAGACTTAATCTTTTGAAAAATGTATTTCTGATGACCACTAAATTACCATTTAGTCACAAATCAATTACAATTTGGCATCTATTATGATATATGATAATTATCTTGATATTAGATTATTTGTTGGGTTTCTATTATTACAAACGATTTACAATTGTCTCAAAAAGTTGTTTTAATGCAATGATTGAGAAATTAGAGTTTAAATGCATTTAATTCTTTACTCAAGAATCTTGAGTCGAGTCATGAGAGCTGATGATTGCTATGAAATAATTTGGCTCAACATTGAGCTAACGTTAGATAATTTCCACTCAATTTAGAAATTATCTTCAGTTTAGGTTATTATAAGTTACGAAAAAAGTGATTCGTTCAAAAAGATTATAATTTCAACCACAGATTCAAATAACATAATTTCCTTACAGACAAAGAGAGAGTAAATTAGGTTTCATTGCGATATTCAAATGTAATTCAAGACTAATTATAAGAGTGAACGCGATTTTGTAATTCATTTATTGAATGCCTCTTTGCATAGAATTATGTTTTCAATGCAAACAACAAACAAAAGCATTTCTTAGTCTTTTCGGTTCAACATATTTACATAAATCAAAATATTTTGTTTTATTATATCCATTGAAAACGACTATAAGATAGTAATCAAAGAAATATTTACTACAAAAGAATAATTGAATAAAACATAGTTTTGTTTTTCACTAACTTAACGATTAAGGCATAGATTTGCAAAACGTTTGATGTATTCGTTGTTTAAGACTAAAGAAAAGATCTTAATATGACTTCAGAAAAAACGTTTCGTTAGTCGTCTTCATCTTAAACCTGAATTTCTTGTATTCATTTCAAACCAAAAGTCAACCAAATGTATGGTTTTTGATGTGAAGGATAACCAAAGAGAGCAACGATTCATACGATTCTGTGGCCAATCCTTTAGTATTTGATTAGGCGTTTAGTAAATTCAAATCGATTACTGAATAGTTTTGCTCTCAAAGTGTAATTAAGTTTAGATTTTATCGCAATTAATAGCAAATGATTTATAAGAAATCGATTCATATATAAATAAAAGTCCGTCAGTTTTGTGAAGATATCATATTTTTGTACTTTTTATCACTAAATTTAAGGGAGTTTCTGATTGGATATTTAGATGCTAGTACAGAAACTAGTATTTAATAAGTTTTAAAAACTCATAATTGCAGCCAATTTAATGAATGCAAATGAAAATTCGTTACTAAATTATACGGTAATAAGTATTACATGTAATGCATGTTATCGTAAGAGTTAGTCATCCGAAGGGTTAGTCAAATGAAAGTTTTTACACAAATACTCAATGGAGTGGTGTTTATATTGCCATTTGGTAGTTATCATTAGGATAAACAGTATATTTTCCCTATAATTAACTATTACTGTATTGTATATGGGGTCAATGCCAGAGTAGTTTAGTAGACATCTGACCACCACTTCCCAAAGCTATTAGCCCGGCAACTAGTGACATGACATCTGCCTGCGCTCTAGATATGAATCTACGAAATGAATGGCCCCATAGACCCCATATATGATCGCAAAATGCGATACTAAATACGTGATCCACATTAAAACACTTCAATTAATCATTTGTTTGATTCAATTCACAGGTAATCTCTATATTGAATGGGAGGGCAGAAGAGCTCGCATTGTGAGACCCGATGTTCAGGCCATCAATGGTGTCATTCATGTCATCGATCAGGTGTTGATGAAGAAGAGAGATCTCACTGTCAACTCATCGTCTCATCCCATCGTTAACATCACATTAACGATCGTTTTTATAATAATTGCAAAGTTTTATTAAAATGTGTCATTCATGTCATCGATCAGGTGTTGATGAAGAAGAGAGATCTCACTGTCAACTCATCGTCTCATCCCATCGTTAACATCACATTAACGATCGTTTTTATAATAATTGCAAAGTTTTATTAAAACCAACACCACTAAGAGTTATAGTTTATTAATAATTATTAATTCATAATTATCTGCTTTAAGACACACTATTAATAAATTATACCAAAAGGATTATACAATACAACAAACCACACAACAATACCCCTCGTCATCGCAACCAATACTAATTGATTGAAAATTCTAAAACAACTAAAAACACAACAAATTCCAATAATTGGGTCCAACCTTAAGACTAAAAGTTACACAAAATGTTTTAAGTCTAATATATTATAAATTATAACAAATATCTGATCATTGATGCGATCGTCAGTTATACGAGAATTATATTCACTATTGTTGAGCATAATTAAAGAGCTAATCATTAATAAGCTTATGTTATATTAGGTTTAAATTATTATTAATTTTTAATTTCTCCAAATAACCAACCCATCAAACAAACAGTTATTAACTCTATTAGTAGTAACTTATCATTGAAAATAAGTTAACATTACATTTTTGCACTCATTTTAGTCATAATTATTGTACTAATTTCTTTGTGTCATTCATGTCATCGATCAGGTGTTGATGAAGAAGAGAGATCTCACTGTCAACTCATCGTCTCATCCCATCGTTAACATCACATTAACGATCGTTTTTATAATAATTGCAAAGTTTTATTAAAAACAACACCACTAAGAGTTATAGTTTATTAATAATTATTAATTCATAATTATCTGCTTTAAGACACACTATTAATAAATTATACCAAAAGGATTATACAATACAACAAACCACACAACAATATCCCTCGTCATCGCAACCAATACTAATAATTCATTGAAAATTCTAAAACAACTAAAAACACAACAAATTCCAATAATTGGGTCCAACCTTAAGACTAAAAGTTACACAAAATGTTTTAAGTCTAATATATTATAAATTATAACAAATATCTGATAATTGATGCGATCGTCAGTTATACGAGAATTATATTCACTATTGTTGAGCATAATTAAAGAGCTAATCATTAATAAGCTTATGTTATATTAGGTTTAAATTATTATTAATTTTTCATTTCTCCAAATAACCAACCCATCAAACAAACAGTTATTAACTCTATTAGTAGTAACTTATCATTGAAAATAAGTTAACATTACATTTTTGCACTCATTTTAGTCATAATTATTGTACTAATTTCTTGATATGAGAACAGACTTATAACTGCATTACATTGTAATTAAATTAGATTTCGATCATATATTTTGCTATTAGTTTAATTGAAAACCAATATTTCTGTTGTGATTCACAAATATATCTCTGTTTAAGAGTTTAACTCTTTGTGAAAGTGAGGAGACTTTAAGTCGATTTTAATGAATTAAAATTGCTTTCGTCTCCACAATCAGAAACATTTGCTTTTCAATGAAAACTATTTTATGAATTACTTCACTTCGGACTAATTGCTAACAACAGTCTATGTAATGAAAAGCTTTCAATATAATTAGAAAACTAAGTTTTATATAAGTTTTTCGGTATAAATGAGAAAAAGTCACACAAAAAAGTGAATTATAAATTAAATTGGATTAAAGAAAATAAGAAAACGAATGACTGATAAAAAGCAAACCATTTAAGTGTAAATATAAACTTATATATAAAAAAGAAAAATTTTTAAACTAATTAATGAATATTGCATTTGACTGCAAAAGTATTGTTTCATAAATATGTGTCTCTTTTTTGACTCTTATCCACCAAAACTAAATATTTGTGAAAAATAAATGATTGATTATATGATATAATATGTGAGAAAACAGTGGACACTGTATTTGCATTCGATATAAAAGTGATTAAATCTAAATTGTGGGCAAAACATACATAATATAAAAACAATTTGATGTGATTTATATTTTTAGTGCTCTCTATCTCTCTCAAGACATGTGTTTTAAAACTCAATATACAGTACTGATTGGAATTGAATTGTAATATTTATGAGAAAATACAAACTAATTGTCATTTCAAACAACATAACTCTAACACAACTCATACCGAAAACACATACTCTTAACGCAACACTTTTATTACTGTACGAAAAACCGATAAATACTTTTTGGCTTTAAATTATGCTTTCGATTAAAGTTTTTCATATATATAATTATAATTACGATTATTATTAAATATACAGTAAATGTCTCTTTAATATGATTTCAACTCATATCTTGTGTTTTGAGATGATTTAAAGGGAAAACATGTGAGAAATTGATTGTTAAGAAAGAAAAGTCAGTCATTTATTTTTGATTCTCTGTCTTAACCACAGCTCAATTGATGTTTTCATTTATCTCTCACTAAATAATTATGATTATCCCTCAAAGTTATTAAAACCAAAAAAGCATAATGTTAACCAAAATTCAAGTGTAGATTCTGTAGACTATTGTGTTTTTTATATAATTTTTTGTCTTGACTTTACTGATAAATAATTTGCATTACTTTTTTCAACTGTTATTATTATAATTCCTTTGATTTATGTATATTTCACTAAAGCTTTTATCCGTCTTTTTTAGATAATAAAAACTTCTTAAAAATATTATCCATTCGTCGCTTCATTTATTTAATAATTGCAATATTTATTTTAAAGTCATTTATAAGCTATTAATAAATACTTAAATAATATAAATAATAAGAAAAGCTAAACATTTTTTAAACATTAGGTAATAAACAGACTATTAGTATTAATAACTGTTTATTTAATAGTTTAAAAATGTTTTTAGCAGCTATTTGTCAATGATATGTTTGCTATGAAGGGAAAGTAAGGCATTGAAATGAATAAATGAAACCCAATTCGCACAGTTAGTCAACTATTTCCTAATTTGTTTTTATTAAAAGGGATCAAATAAATGATATTTGATACTTAAGAAAGTGGAGGACTCTTAGCATTTGATTAACACATAATTTATATGAAAATTCTAATGCATTTCACACTACTGTATGGCTCATAATTGGCTGCATTTCTAAATGTAATTTAAAACAAGCTTTTAATTAAATGAACACAAAATGAAACATTCATTCATTGGTCTCATATTTGTTTTGATTTCATTCACTAATTGTGAGTCTTATTAAAACACTTTGATTTGACAAAAAAATATAATTCATTGCTCGTTCAAAGTAAGGCTAAGCGAGAGTTTGTTGGATGAAAGGTCGAGCCTTCCCATCATAGCAATTGCCAAATGCGGCTATAATTGTTGGCCTAAGTATGGCATCGACACCGACAAGGACTTGGATATAAACACAAATCTGATGCAAATGAGTCACAAACATCTGGATGACTATCAGATCGGCGAACTCAGGGGTTGTATGGAAGAGTGTCTCATACGAGACACACAATCAGGTCTTCACATTCATTATTTGCATTCAAACATCACTCCATTGCTTACATTCACTTCATTTTCATTCAATCAGAATACTATCCATCAGTGGATCAGTCATTTGGACCAAACAATTAGTTCTTGAGCCCAACACTTCCATTGGACACAAAAATTATACCGAAATGAACAACAAATATATTATTATAAAAATTATTTATCAAAATTAATTCATAAATTTACAAATTATTATACAAATCCCAAAGACTTATAGTTTTGTCTTTAGAACCGACGGATAAAAGCATTTTATTTTGTTTTGTAACCAATTTGTCCGAAAATATAAGGCTTTCAATGGACTCTTTGTGAGAGTCGATAACCGCCAGCGGTTTCAAACTCTTGAGTGCAAACACTCGGATCCGACCATCACTTCCTCCGCACCCGAATATACGGCCATCGCTTCGGATATGACAACACAATAGACCGCCGTTTGTCACCATTAGGTCCTTCTTGAGAGACAGACAGACGTCTGACTTGTCCTCACTTACAGTCAAAGTCCAAACAGAGATCACATTATCCACTGAACAGCAAATGCCAGACATCTTCTGGTCGTTGAAATCCATTGCAGTAATCATTGTCTCAAAACATTTCAATTGAGTCACGCATTGACTGTCATTGAGATTGGGATCTGTTTTGAACACTAGTAGTGAACCGCTTTCGTAACCGATTATCACAAAAACGACATCATATTTGCCATCATTGGTGTCAAAGTGTGTCACAAACAAAGTCAATGGACAGCCGTTGTTGACATCCGTTTGGCCAACAATTGCCACACTTTTATCAGTCTTATAGTCAATCATTTCAATCAATTTGTTGTCTCTTTTGGACACAAATCCTAAATATTTTGAACCAAAAGTATTGTCAGAGTTTGGACTCAAATAGAGAAAGCATTTACAGAAAGTGATGTCAGAAGTGGTGAATGACTTCTGCACTGAAGACAATCGGTTGTCAAACACATCGATCACTCCATTCTTCGACTGACACAACACGTGATCCTCGCAGGCAATCAACTCTTGTATTCGTGAGTTGTGGTCAGTGGTGACCACCGATTGGCACCGATAGGTGTCCAGACACCACACCATCACTTGTCCGCAATCACTGCCACCGATCAGACAGTCTTTGCCGTCGATTGTGGTAAAACATAGGGCTGTTATCGATGAACACGTTTGTGGTAAACCTCTGAAGACAAACAGTGGTTTGGGTGCACCCAATGTTATGGACCTCGAGGTTGTCATGTCTTGAGCCGATTGTCTCCAAACTTCAAAACCGATTGCAAAACAAATATTTGGTTCAAAAACATGTGTTTCGGACGTTATTTGTGAACAGTTTGTGACAGACTTTGCATTCAATTTGCATTGATTTGTGTGAATACTGTTGGACTCGTTTGTAAATTATAAACTAAATTCATTTAACATTTGTTTATTTAAATAATGTTTAATTTGATCTTTTTTTAGTATATTCATAACAAAATTACTTTTAATACACAAACGTGTGTACACAATAATTATTGATAAATGGAATTTGCATTGATAATCTTTTAGGTCCTTTTATAGCAAATAAAGTACATTTGATTTCATATAGAGTTAATACTAGCAAAAAGGAATGAAGTCTTTAATTAAAAAGTTTTTTAACGAAATTAGAAACTTATCATTAGTTTTAAGGTCAAGAAAATTAAATTAATTACACGANATTGATAATCTTTTAGGTCCTTTTATAGCAAATAAGGTACATTTGATTTCATATAGAGTTAATACTAGCAAAAAGGAATGAAGTCTTTAATTAAAAAGTTTTTTAACGAAATTAGAAACTTATCATTAGTTTTAAGGTCAAGAAAATTAAATTAATTACACGATTACTACGATTAGTGGTAATATGTTTGCTTCACTCTCTTATGACAAATAATTGTCAGAATATTCACAATTTCCTAGTAATGAAAAACTTGTCAAACTTGCCACAAATAATTTTACCACTAATTGGAGGCAATAATTGGCAAAACTTTCGCTGAATTCAATTATAACTGTTTTATTGAAAAATAGTTTCAAAAACGAGTGAATAATAATTATTTTAGACAAAAGAGTATTAATTTGTAAAATAAATGAGAAAAAAGAGACTAATTTTGATGGCATTTCATGAATGGGTGCGATATATGAGGTCAGGTCAGCACTGGGATGAATAGGAGATGAGAAGTGATGATATGATGAGCGCAGTTAGCCATCCATAGCCAGCCATCCGTTCCCTATGAATATAAATATAACAAAACTATTAAATGCAATAAATGACAAAAAAAAAGTTTTTTATATAAATGCGAAACAATCTCATATGACATTCAAAAGGAAATGCATTCATAGGCAGTGGTGATAACGCTGTGGACCCACTTTGACCACACGTACATCGACCTGATATATCATATCCCAAGTCCACACATCACTCGCAAACTACTTCCCAATCGCTGTCATCATCATTACATCACCACCACTATAGCCAACCCAATACTCACTCATATGTCTCACCATTAATAGTGTATTCACTTTTGAAGTTTTGTCAAACATTGTGATTGTGTCCGACAATCGATGATTCAGTTCTCGATTTTTATAAAGTATTTGTATTATTTTTTTTGTTACAATAAGTTTTGTTCAACTATTTAGTGAATATTTAGGAAACAAATGTATTTCCTGTTAAACATCAAAGCAAATCAATGAATTGGTGTTCGGCTCATGACATTCAGCCAGTGATGTGGTCCGGGCTTTTGGCAGAGGACTCTCGATCATGACTTTGAAATGATGTGATGTTTCAAACCCTTCCCAATTGTCGACTGACAGTGAAATCTTTCATTATATTATGTGCTTACAAATCTTAACTTTCAAAATGCGCTAAAAGTAATTGAAAAAGTTTTTAAAGACATTTATGAACATTAAATAGACATTAATGAAAGTTTGTTTAAAATGTTAATTAATGTCAACATAAATATGTTTAGTGTAATAGATACGAGAAAATGTAAAGTCTTGTCGAATCAGTTAATTATGATACCAATAGTGCTGTCAGTGATCGCGAGAGCTGTGGTCGACTCCCAGAACTGTTTCGGTGGTATCGAGACCTTCGAGAAGACAACGGTGTCTGACTTCGGCGTCGGTGTCAGTGTTGTGGGCACTCTCTTACACCAGGAGAACGTGGCCCTAACCCGCGATTGTGTGAACCTATGCCGACAACAACCCAAATGCCAGGCCTTTGGTCTGAATTATGCAAAGTTTCGTTGTTCTGCTTATTCGGAGAACTCGAAGCGAAATAGGGATCGATTGCAACACTCCGTCAGTACTAACTATTTCGAGAAGATCTGTCTCAAAGGCATCTCAAGACAGGCCTTCGACAGCGCCTGTGGTAATGAGAGGCTGTGGGCCTTCGAGAGAGTCAAAAGTGCTTTCATTGAGGGGTTCGTTGAGAAGCAAATCGATAACATCGGCAGCAAAGAAGAGTGCGTTAAGTCGTGTCTCATTGAAAACAACTTCATCTGCAGAAGTGTTGATTACGACGACACCAGAAGAATATGTCGTTTGTCTAAAGAGGACCGACGGACACAACCGCAGGCCTTCAGACAAGTGGACAACAGTACCAGAGATTACTTAGAGAATCAATGCGCCGCTTCAGGTATGGGTCAACCATTCATTTTGCGCAGACATTGCCTCTCATTTGAATATTGAGGAAGTTTTTGGACAAAATGTTTTGCAATTTGTTTGCAGTTTTGCATTAATTTGTGAAAACTTTTGTTTAGCCATGTTTTGCATTTAAAAACAATTAATTCTGAAATACAGTTAGAGTTAAATGAATTGAATCCTATTTTTATATAACATTTGCATAATTTAACGGAAATGGGTTTCGAAATATAGACGGCTATCGCGTCCATGTCTGTGATCCTGTCCTATAAAGATAAATAATAGTGTGAAATATATTATAACTTAATTAACAGCATTATAGTTAGCTTTCACCCAGTCCTTGATATAAAATTTACAAATTGAATGCATTGTTTTAAACATTGAATTGATTAAATATTAATTTCTGTGTATAGAACAATAAATTACAAAATGCATTTTAATTCATTCAAATTGTTTATAGTAAATGATAATCGCAATATAATTGTGTTACTTGATTAAAGGAATTATTTATACTTATTTATACACCGTTTACACACAGGTAATCCAGGCAGGAGTACACACATGGCTTGTTTTGGGCTAAAGAGCCACCTATCGATGGATTCGTTGCAATTCTCACAGTCTTCAGACGACTGTCAGATGCAATGCGATCGCGAGACTGCATTCAACTGCCGGGCCTTCAGTTTCCTCAGTAATCGCTGTGTCCTCAGCGGTGACGACGGCGTGAGTCTCGTGGGCACAACCCTTCCGCCACAAAAGGGTGCCGTCTATGGGGAGCGGACGTGTGTGGCCGAGCTCTGCACTAATGGTATATTCACTTACGAGAAGATTACGGGACATGTGTTGCGGTCTGCCGTCACGACAGCCGTCGAGTTGCCGAACATCGGGACTCTGGGCGCCACGGGTTGGTGTCGGGAGAGCTGCGACTCAGCGAATCTCAATTGTCCCGCTTTTAGTGTCAACTATCAGAGCACCAGATGTGAGAAATTGGACCGAAATTCTCAGGGAAGGACCGGTGATCTCATTCCCCGCGAAGGCGAGAGTTATTTCGTATTTACTATTAGCGTTATATTAACACAAAGAACTAATTTCCTTAATAAATATGAATAAATATGTGGCAAATGTGTGTCCATTAGGTCCGTCCTCATGTGTGTACCGAACAAAACCCGATTTCTCGGTTCTATCGATGGATTCGTTGCAATTCTCGCAGTCTTCAGACGACTGTCAGATGCAATGCGATCGCGAGACAGCATTCAACTGCCGGGCCTTCAGTTTCCTCAGTAATCGCTGTGTCCTCAGCGGTGACGACGGCGTGAGTCTCGTGGGCACAACCCTTCCGCCACAAAAGGGTGCCGTCTATGGGGAGAGGACGTGTGTGGCCGAGCTCTGCACTAATGGTATATTCACTTACGAGAAGATTACGGGACATGTGTTGCGGTC